CAGTTCTGATGAGTGTTTTGAAGGCGAGAAATAAACCTCATTAAGAAATGTTTCAGTTTCAGAGTTTTGGCAGGATTTGGCGAGCAAACAGCAGCGCAGTTTCCAATTCTGTCGCATCACATCCAACTTTAAGGGATGCAATTTTGGCAAATATTCTTATTAACACTCTTAATCAAGCTTGTGATCTACAAGTGCAGGATTGTGATGGGTTGTCTTTTTGGGTTCTTTTTAATGAGCTGAAATCAGTTCACAGGAAAAAATATTTCTAACAGAGCTTCAATGATGAAAGTAAAAAGACATAAAAAGCCTGCATTAATCATGGTTCAGTATAAAGGTTGAAAACAGAGGGGAAAGTAGGGAAGGACGGGCCACCTTTCTCAGTTTGGAGTAGTCAATGAGGTCGGGTCTGTGTCTGTGGATGAGGGCACACAGGGCCAGGCCATCCTTCCAACTGAGCCGCAAGAAGAAGAAGAGGAAGGAGGGAGGCATGAGTGAGGAAACAGCGGCAGGCAAAGAGGCGTGAGGAGAAAAGAAGGAGAGTAGATGATCGGTGGGTGACATGGAGGGAGGAAAACATAAAGAGGAAAAGAAATCAGCATCAGACAGAAGTATAAACTGAATGACTGCAGTTCCCTGCTGATGCCACAGGTCGGCATCGCTCACCCACCTAATGTGGAAGTTCTGTACATTGACGTTCCTGTAGGGGGCAGTCTTCCTCTGGCACCACAGCAGCAAACCCTCCTTAGCAGAGGTCTCTGAAAAAGTTGAGAAGAGGACAAGATTTTAGATGAGGGTTTGTGTTATTTTGAACATTAAAGAAGAAGAATAACAGTCAGGAACAGGAGCAGGATGACAGAGAGTGATTGGGGCTGTCAAAAGTTTAAATACTGCACAAAGATGTTTAGGATCAAGATCTGGCATTAAAAAAAAAAGCTGTATGATTTTAGCAGCAGTCAATATATTTCTCAAGCTCGTCTGACGGGTGGCTTAAAGATAATTTCCTGCACTAGTGGAGGGAAGAGGAGTTATGAGAGGTTAGAGCGAGGTCGATGGCGAAGAAAGTCAAGCTGTATGACAGCAGAAGAAGATTGAAGAGCGGAAGCAATAAAAGCTAAGCTAAAGGAGATGACTTGAAGGTAAGTGGGGGCGTGGGGG